ACACTGTAAAACCTCAAGCCGTTTTAACTTTTTAGTATGCCCCAGTGGCGGTCTGTATACGAAACTAACGAAAGAATACAATATAAATGGAGTTCAACGTTTATCGGTTTATGTTTACAATATTTAAGTGTATTTCCGGTCTGCGCTGATTGGTGGATATTAATTGACCTGTGACATCCTAATTGAAAGGCGGCACACAATCATCATAGGGATCCTTGCAGGCTCTCTTTCACCCAGAGAGCCTGCTCGCAGGCTACGATATGTTTAGAATATGCAAGGGTAGGCTAAATAATACTCGTGAGGTTATACCGGCGGCGTTGCGCAGGTATCTGACAAGGAACGTGTACTTTATTCTGACTATAGCATCTAAGCACAGGTTATTGCTGTATTAAATATTTGATAGGCCGTTTTTGGCTAATTCTCGACACTTTCAAAAATGGTTACTCAAGTTTAAACGCAGCTCTCTCGGTCAATATTTCACGAAAATGCACAGCAGTTACTTTCATCCTGCTCATCAGCACTACACTGATGAGGCCCATAAGGCCGAAACGGTACCGTCTGTATATACAAAGATATATATATATATATATATATATATATATATATATATATATATATATATATATATATATATATATATATCTTTGTTTTTAAAAATAAATAATAAGTTTGTTAACGTTATTCTTTACCTGAGTACATTACACCAACACAGAAAAAAAATAAAAAAATCATGGTTATTCTTTAGTTATCAAATTCGCCGCCAGTATGTAATAATGATAATGTTGTTGCTGTTTTCTGTGTTATTATCGCTTAAAAGACAATTTTTTTTACTCTTGCCAGGCCTTCGGCCTTTCTTTCTTCAGAAAAAAATATGGAACTAGGGTTAATTTTTTGCTGTTCATAATGCACTGATTACACACGTACAACACAAACTAAGCACATATTCATATCTATACTTGATATTTTCTTTATACAAGCAACTTTACCTCTTTTGAGTTAATTTCAGAACAGTTTAAGTTAACTTGATAGCACTTTTCGTACCCCGCGCTGTTTTCCAAACCGTTTACAATGATCTGCCAACCCCAAATGCTTCTTCTTCCTGTGAAGTATAAGTATAGAACATATAGAACTTACACCATATATGATGAGGGTAGTAGGCTGAAAGGGGGATTGGGACCACGATCCACGTGAAGAAAAACAGCCATTTCACGTATCACATGTGAAAAAACACGTTTTAGCTGTGTAAATTTCATTTTTCGTCTTGAGTATTTATGCATTTCTCAATTAACTTATTTTTACGTTTTCAAAGCTAATCTCACCGCCGCATGAAAGCAATAAGAGTGTAAGACGGATTTAAATCTAGCCAATACATCTACTAAAATTCTTACACTCCAAGGCAAAGTTATTTTCACTGTGACTCGCCAAGTCCTTGTTCTACCACGGCCACAAACAATTAAGTTATCGTTTCGCCGACAAAAATTTCCGGCGATCACGGCTTATGATCACGGCTTATGATCACGGCTTATGATCACGGCTTATGATCACGGCTTATGATCACGGCTTATGATCACGGCTTATGATCACGGCTTATGATCACGGCTTATGATCACGGCTTATGATCACGGCTTATGATCACGGCTTATGATCACTATTCGCTCATAGAGAACTCGGCTTCGCTATCTAATTGTTAAATAAATGCCATATAATAAATTTTTTATTAACCTCGCTTGCACGGTATGTACAGAGAAATGTCGGATCCCGGTCATTTTGTACAAAACTTGCCGTACAGGCTCGGACTGTACAAAAATGACCTCGGTCCGATATGTGCAGATCTCGCGTTTGGTTAATTGAAGAAGCTATTAAACCAGTGGTAAAACTATTCTATTAAATTCTATTGTTATATAGTTAGTGTCAAAATTCAATTTTTCTGTTTATCGATTGGTCAAAACCATATCACGTGCTGGTCCACAAAACGTCATGTTCACTGCATGCTTTGTCGAGGAGGCAACCAATCAACAATGAAACATGCATTTATTGACCGCTCAACAATAGAATGGGTGCAAAGCGCATGCGCGTCAACCATGAAGTTCCAAAGTTCATTTTTTAAACTATTTTAAATTCAGTCCAATAAACGGTAAATTATTCATACTTTTGCACTTACATACTTTATAACAAAACACTTAATTACTGAGACCTCGGGCAAGCAGTGTGTTTTGTGGCCCCTTGACCGCCGTTGTTTTCCTCGGTCTCGTAAATAAGTGATAAGTATTAAATCCTATTTAAATCCTTTTTCCACAAATATGAGAGCGATAATAATTTAAAGAACGACGTTTCGAAGTCATCTTGATTTCATTCTCAAGTTCAAGTTATTACAGAAAACGATTAAATTAATATCAATAGCGTTAACAAATAATTGCGCAAGCCAAACTTAAATAATTGCGCAATGCAAACGACGTATTTATTGTCAGGCAAGCTTTCCCTCATAAGCCTACGGCTTTTAGATTTGCCATTTAGGTTTTTTTTAAATATTGTTTATATGAAACTACTAATTCGACATACATGACATTCACGTTTTCCGGGGGGGGGGGGGCAGAGCAGAGCCTCCTAAATTTCCTACAAAAGTTTCAAATTTCCTACATACCCCGTCCCATTTGCACTGGAAACGAATGCTTTTAGCCCTCTTTTAGATCAAAATTTCCGAAAATTCGTCAATTTTCCGGAAGGTGGTTGGCGGCCGCCCCATTAATTTTAAGCACTCTAAGACACTTAATTTATTTATTTATTTTATTTATTAGGCTTTGCCAAATCAATTTAAACTACTTGCTATACAACATTGACATAAACGGTACATACATTGACATGGCTGGGTATATGTTGCAGCATTCGCAAATTACAGCGACCCTTTACACAATACAAGACAAACAAACTTTAAAATATTGGGGTTCAACGCAGAATAATTAACATAAATTAACATAGATTAATTAAACAATTAATTCCTAGGTATTATAGCATGGTTTCGAGTGCAATTTGGATATTAAACATGCACGAGTGAGTTTTTCAAAGACCTCAAAATAGCACGAGTCCAAAACATGCACGCAGAAACCCTCGCCTTGCTGACAAAACCATTGTATTTTCCGAACATGAAGTATCTGAAGTAGATGTCATGGTAACACGATATTTTTTTAAGAATATTCTTACAAATGAAAAATCGCCTAAAAATATCACTTTTAATTACAAAATTATCAATTTCCCAACATATATATGTTCGGTATGTTATTATACGTAATATAAGCTTTAATTTAAGGTAAAATTCAACCACAAACGCTTCGTTACCATTAATAAGGGGGGAGTTAACCTTAAATCTTCAAAAAAAATCAAAATTTCTTTTTTACATATTTAATGACTTTGGGACCTTAGCTAACATGCGCCCAAACCGTTTTTAAAAAATCAAAATCCTTCCTCTACTTCTGAGGGTTTTAATATGCATTATCTTATTTTTGTTACCCGTTTCCATGGCAACCAATATGGCATTTTTTGTTTGTTTGCCACTTTAACTTGATTGTCCGCTTGCCAGCGTTTCGAAAACAAGTGATTTACATAGTACCCTTTGTTGTGTACTACATAAAGTATTTGTGCTGTTACAATTTGGTGATTGCTGGCGCTCATTGCCATGCCAAAATTGTGATCAAAATTTTCAACGGAAATGCTATTTTCGAACGTGAAAAGAAATCAAATTCTTCGCTCTTTAATCTTTGCTTTTTAACATAAACAAATGGTTGGACAAAGCTCCAGATCTTTATATAAAAGAAAGAGGAAAGGGACTGTTTCGGGGCGTCAAAGATACAAGAAAGACGAGGCTTTAAATTCATCACGTAGTGACGTATCAGACATCTCAAACAGGCGTAGCCTGCGAACAGGCTCTCAAGCTGAATTGAGAGCCTGCATCGATGACTAATGAATTTGAATATCTGCGTCTCAAATCGTGACGCGAAATTCTCATTGGTCAGATGCTATAATTTATATGTTTCCGCTGAGCTCTATATATGTCAACTGCTGAAGCACTATGCATAAAAAACACATTAACTGATCAAATTGGTCTTGACCATCTTATCTCAAAGCACCAAAATGTTCTGTTTTGAGAAAACAGTATTTAAAACATTTGAACTTTTGCTTCAATATCTTATATTTCGAAAAACAGTATAAACTGTACGGTCTAAATTTAGTTTGCACGGTCTAAATTTAGTTTGCACGAAAGTTGTCAACAACACCATATAAGGATATACATTCCATATTTGGAAAAACGAATGTTACGGGGCAGATATTCAAATTCATTAGTCATCGATGCAGGCTCTCAATTCAGCTTGAGAGCCTGTTCGCAGGCTAAAACAGGCGAAGTTGATGGTCAAAATATCGTTGGAACCTCAATGAAGAAAGTGCGAGGTGACAGTAAGAATGCAGAGTCCGAGTTTACGATTGAGAATCCTTAAAACTGTCAAGAATTCTGGGTTATTAGCAATTTAGCATGAACTGTTAGTCCACAGGCCACAGCTGTGTCAAGTATGCAACACATTTTGTCAAGTGATTTGTGCTGTTCAAAGGTAAAATTCCCTTCAAAAGTTTTTTTATGTTTTCAATCCACTTATCTTTTAATATAGGTTTAATTGATAAGTTGTATTCAAACAAAAGTATATATGCATTATATTTATCCTTTGTATTAATTTTAATTATTTGTAGATTGTGTTAATAATTTAATATATTCCTGAGATGATACTCAGTTCTATGACCCTGTCAGAATTAAGGAAATATGACTCTTGAAGACGTCCCTGACAAACGTTCTGGTCTCATGTCAGAGTTTACGTTGGGATGTGATTCATGTAATGAGTCAAGCTGTTTCACCACATTGGTCAATGCTGCTACTCGGGGAAGGTCACAAGATATAAATCGCTGTGCTGTTTATCACTCAGTGGAGACTGGCAGTGATTACGAAGGTCTGGCGTCTTGTTGCAGCATTTTTAACATGCCTTGTATTTCTAGGCCTGCTTACTACAAGCAAGTTGAAGTCATCATGGGATCACTCGAAGAAAAAGCAAAGGTTCCAAGAGATGAAGCAAGATAACTGAAGCGAAGAAGTGTGATTTGCATGCCACTGATAAGGAAAAGAGACGACGCCTATTTCGCACCAGAAGGGAAAAGGCCCTCCGCAATACTGAAGGAGTGACATATGAGGCAGCAGCTTTCTAGCTACTTCTCACAAGGATCTTATAGGTTATTAGAACTTACAAAGACCTTAAACTTTGTAAGATGATGAAATATTTAACATTAACCAGTAACGAAAACTGTAAACTCCATTTTCTCATTTCGCACTATTTCAGCGGTCGAGAAAAGATATCTTGAGTAGATTACAATGGATTTGGCTAAAATTTTTAGTGATTGTTCCACTCAGTCAACTTTGTGTTTTAAGCAGAGGAATTTGTTCCATGGCAAATATTTTGAAAGTTATGGCAGTTTCAATATTTTATAATTCGGTGCTAAAATCTGATTGGCCATAACTTTTTCATTATTTAATGTATCTAAATTCTCTCTGCTTAAAACAGTAAACCCTATATGTTAGTTAATTTAAGATATAAAAGAGCCAAATCATTCAAATACAGAATGTGCAATCCTTTCTTGAATATAGCCTAGTCACAAATTTGGCAATCGGCCCAGAGCCACCTTAATATGGCTTCTTGTGTGCAGTAAATAGCTTTTTTAGATTCCTCAGGGCATAAGCTTTCTGCCAATATATAGTTTGTGGGGGTTTTGATGTAAACTTAGTGAACTATGACGTTTTTCCTTACACCATATATTTAAGGTTAACTCCCCTTAAATAAAATTCAAAAAATATTTTTTTATAATTTATTTAGCAATACAAACGAACTTAGATAATTGCTTGGAATAGAAAAAGGTCGAATGTTAGAATAATTTTAAACCTCAAATATTATAAATAGTAATAGGTATTTATGCTCTTTCCGGAAGTATATTTATAATAAAATAAGGCCGTAATTAGTCATGGGGAATAAAACTTTGAATGCTTTAAAAATTCTTGCTATCATGGATCTATAGGACTCTAGCTACTAGCTGATGATGGTTTGATCGGACTTAGGTATACTAATCTCGTGTTCGTAGTGCTGAAATGTTATACTAATATCTCTTTTGTCTAGGGTGAACATGTGTGGCTTGCCCCAGAAACAAAAGGTGAATTTGACGTCGCTATTGGTGGTGTGGTGAAGCTCTCAGACTCCGGACAGATTGCCATTGTTGATGATGAAGGAAATGTAAGTAGTATACTTTTATTTTTCAGGGTAAAAATCAAATTATGAGATGATCGTCACATGAAAGCCTATAGTGGTTCAGTCTTCTTCCTTTTTCAAGTTACGGCATTGACAGTCTTGTGACAAGTTTTTAAATTGATTGTTATAATCTTGTTAGCAATCTGACAACTGCATCATTACCGTCCTTTGTATAGAAGAACGGAGATAGATAAAAATATATATTATATGTTCACGTAAAACGTTCTAGATCTATCAAGAGCATTTGATATGTCTAAACTGATCAGCCAATTAATATACGTTTAATTAGCCTCATATGACCTGATTGCTGATGAAGTGAAACATTGACAGTTTCACTTCAAAAAGGCAATCATGCATGTTATAACAAGTATAAGTGACTGTTCATTCGTGCATGCAATCAACTGTAAACTTGAGAAACAAGTTTGATATACTGTAAGCATAGTTAAAACTGGTCCGGTCACACAATTCACTAGCAACGAACATGGCGTTGTTCTAATTAGTGTTTGTACTTTCATTGAAAAGACTTCTTAAAATATTTTAAAAGTTAACGATCTTTACATCGTTCCATCTCTTTTATTTTATTCTCGATGTTTAAGGTGGTTTCACATTTAGACAATGGCAAATTCTGACGTCACACTGCGTAATCTCTCACTCTTAGAATTTTAAATATGACATGACGCGAATTTTTTTCTTCTACTGTTTGAAGGAATCGTCTGTATGACTTCTTTTACACGTTTACGTATTTACATGGTGGTATATTTCAATTTTGTTCATGTTCATCGTCAACAAATTTACGTCACACTTTGCAAAATGAGCCAATGAAACACTTAGATATTTATGTGTATTTATCTGGCCAATCATTTGGAAAACTTCGTTTGCATGCATGTATGTACATAACACAACGCATGTACATTTTGAAGTGATTTAAACCAGTTAAAAAAGATAGCTCATAGCCTCATATTGAATGAAGTAACATATTGAACTTGTTTACATCGCGTAGCTTATATTGAATGAAGTGATAAAAACTTATTTATATGCATGGCCATGGATATTCTCACCAATATCTGCATTCTGTAAACATATTTACTGTACAGTTTTGGCGGATGTGACAGTGATAACCTTTCAACAACTTGAAACAAGCATGGATGATTCGATTACATAACAAAATAAAATGTGAATTTTACAGCGTGTAAGAATATAAATGCAGAATGTTTTCGTAACTCACAAATTTGGTGCATCTTTACTTTCTAGGAACACTGGCTACATAAAAGAGAT